AAATTTTGGGTACAGGGGGGTTTGACCAATCCCAGCCCCCAAAATCCTGGAAAAAGAGGAACTCGGCCACACCCAACCCCCAAAATCTCCAAAAAAAGGGGGAAAAAACCCCAAAAAACCATCTGGGAAACCACGCCCTTCCCCAAAACCCCCCAAAACCCCCCAAAATGGGCTGAGACCCCTTTAACCCCTTGACTCCCACCCCCCAAGCCCGCAGCCCCAGCCCGCGGCCCCGGGAGCCCCCAGCCCCACCTGGGAGCCCCCAGAGCGCGGGCAGGCTCAGCGCCAGCAGCGGCAGCAGCCGGGGCACGCTCCGCGCTCCGGCCATGGCGCCCCGGGCTCCGCGACGCGGCCAAGGGCCGGAGCTGCTCCCGGGAAAGCGGCGCCCGACTGGGGGCACCGGGAGCGGGGCAGCGGCACCCCAAAAAGCGCCCGGCCAATGGGAGCGCGGCGCGGGCGGCGCGTCACCGGTTGCCGGGTAGAGGCTGGGGAAAAGCGCGCTCCTCAGAAAATTCCAGCCAATCGGAGCGCGGCGCGACGATGAGTCATCGGTTGCTGGGCAGAGCGCCTGAAAATCGGGCTCCGAACGGAACCGGCCAATCGGAGCGCGGGAAAAACAGCCCGGCCAATCGTGGAGGAGCCGAAAAAGGCTGCAGCCAATCAAAGCTCAGCCGAAAACCACGGCCGACCAATCAGGGAGCGCGTCCCTAATGACCCCGCGGCGCTCCGCGCTGGTTCCCGCAGTGCAGCGCGGCTGGTCCCGGTGGTCCCGGCGCGGCGCTGGCCATGGGGCTCGGGGCGGCAGCCGGGGCCGTGCTGGTGGCACTGGTGGCGCTGGGAGCCGCCCCGGCTGCGGGCGCGGAGCTCTCGGGTGAGCGGGGAGGGGGCGGAGCGGTGGGCAGGCTGGGGAAGGGGGAAATGGGGAGGGGGCACCCCAAACCCGAGCCCGAGGGGCTGGGGATGGGGGAGTGGGGTTAAAATGGGTGGGAAAGGGGAAAATTCGGGAGCCCCGAAGTGATTTCGGGGCGCGGCCGGAGGCGGGAGGGGAGAGGATGCGGAAGGGGAACTGCGGGAAGGGGACAAAGAGGAAGCGGCAGCGCGGGCAGGAGGGTCCCAGGGCGGCCGTGGGGCACAGGGGGTGCGGGGTGGGGGTGCGGGGTGGGCCCCGGGGGGCTGCGGGTGCTGGGGGGAGCTGGGGGCACCCCCTGAGATGGGTCCTGCACCCACAGGGGTGTTCCAGGAGCTGGGAACGTCCGAGTGCTACTTCACGAACGGCACGGAGAAGGTGAGGTTCGTGGAGCGGTACATCTACAACCGGGAGCAGTACCTGATGTTCGACAGCGACGTGGGGGAGTACGTGGGGTTCAACCCCTATGGGGAGAAGAATGCCAAGCGCTTGAACAGCGACCCGGAAAGGATGGAGTACAAACGGGGTCTAGTGGACACGTACTGCCGGCACAACTACCGGATTGTCACCCCGTTCAGCGTGGAGCGCCGAGGTGAGCGCGGGGCAGAGCGTGTCCCCTCGGGCCCGGCCCTGCCAACGGCCCCGGAGCCCCTCGAAACCTCCCTGGGAATCGGCCCGGAGCCCTCAGCCCTCCCTGGGCCCATCCCTGGTTCTTCCCAGTCCCTCCCAGTCCTTTCCCAGTCCCTCCCAGTCCTTTCCCAGTCCATTCCGAGTCCAGCCCAGTCTCTCCCACTCCATTCCCGCTCAATTCCCACTTCATTCCCAGTCCATGCTCTGTCCCTCCCAGTCTACCCCAGTCCATTCCCAGTTCCTCCCCATCAATCCCAGTCCATGCCCGGTGCATCCCAATGCATTCCCAGTCCATTCCCAGCTAATCCCAGTCTATTCACAGTTCCTCATTTTCCAGCCCAGTCCCTCCCACTTCATCCCAGTCCATTCCCAGTCCCTCCCAGTCCATTCCAGTCCCTCCCAGTCCCTCCCAGTCCCTCCCAGTCACCCCCAGTTCCCTCCCAGTCCCTCCCAGTCCATCCCAGTTCCTCCCAGTTCCCTCTCAGTTCTCCCAGTTCTCTCCCAATCCATTCCCAGTCCCCTCCCAGTCTCTCCCAGTTCTCCCAGTTCACTCCCAATCCATTCCCAGTCCCTCCCAGTTTCCTCCCAGTTCCTTCTCAGTTCCCTCCCAGTCCCCCCCAGTTCCCTCCCAGTCCCTCCCAGTCCCCTCCCAGTCCCTCCCAGTTCCTTCTCAGTTCCCTCCCAGTCCATTCCCAGTCCCCCCCAGTCCCTCCCAGTCCCTCCCAGTCCATCCTCAGTCCCTCCCAGTCTATTCCCAGTCCATCCCCAGTCCCTCCCAGTCCCTCCCATTCCATTCCCAATCCCTCCCAGTCCCTCCCATTCCATTCCCAATCCCTCCCAGTCCCTCCCACTCCATTCCCAGTCCATTTCCAGTCTCTCCAAGTCCATTCCCAGTCTCTCCCAGTCCCTCCCAGTCCCCCCCAGTCCCCCCCAGCCCCTCCCCACCCCTCCCCTCTCTCTCCCAGCGCCCCCCAGCTGATCCCAGCCCGTCCCGCTCTCTCTCTCCCAGTGCCCCCCAGCGTGTCCATCTCGCTGGTGCCCTCGAGCTCCCAGCCCGGCCCCGGCCGCCTGCTCTGCTCCGTGCTGGATTTCTACCCTGCCCCGATCCAGGTGAGGTGGTTCCAGGGCCAGCAGGAGCTCTCGGAGCACGTGGTGGCCACCGACGTGGTCCCCAACGGGGACTGGACCTACCAGCTGCTGGTGCTGCTGGAAACCCCCCCCCGGCGCGGGCTCACCTACACCTGCCAGGTGGAGCACGGCAGCCTGGAGCAGCCCCTGAGCCGCCACTGGGGTACGGGGGAGCCGCTGGGGCCGGGCCGGAGCCACGGCCGGGGGCTGGGAGCCAC